AAAAAAAAAAAGAAAGAAAGCCACTAGTTCCAGAACTTGAACTATGCTCAGCCACGTGGTAGTGTCCAGTGCCCCAACCACTACACCACCCGCTAGTCCTTTTAAAACAGCTTTTACTCAACCAAGAAAACTACCTGGGGAAAAAGAAAGAAAATAAAAAAGCTTTTAAAATGATATGGGGTTGGGGGATACTAATGACAATAGCCAGGAAACAGCTGGAAAATAAAGAGAAACCATTAAGTGGCTAGAACAGACTACTAGCAACCAAATATATCAATTTGCCTAAAATATTTTTTAAAAAACTAGACAAAATACAAAGAACAGTTAAAAAGAAAAAGATTCTGGGTGGCTGCACAGCATTGGCAATGGAATGGATGTCACTAAATTGTACACTTTCATAAAGGGTTAAGTTGGGCTGGCAGGTGACACAGTGCTTCAAGGTGCTGACTCCCACATGGCTGACAGTGGTTTGAGTCCTGGACCTGGCAGGTTTCTTTCTCACTTTCTCTGTCTCTCTCTTAAGAATATTTTTTATTGGAGGCAGCAGGTGGCGTGGTGGTTAAGGACACTGAAGTCCCACATGACCCGACCACAGTTCGAGTCCTGGACCTGGCGGCTTGCTTTCTCTCTCACTCTGCCCCTCTCTGGTCAAATTAAATAATAAAATAATTCTTTAAAATAATAATATTTTTATTAAAAAATAAATAGTAAATAAAGTAAAAAAATCTTTTTTTAATGGGTTAAAATAGAAAATGTTATATTTTATACAGTAACAATCACTCTGGTTTCCTAGAGCTGGGGGGCTTGGCGGGGGATAGGAAGGGGAGTAACTAATAAGGCAGGGCTGTATATGGGGACGTAAATTTCTTTTATAAAAAGTCAGCAACCCCTCTGAATGTTCATCCCAAAATACGCTACAGCAGTGATAACAGTGCTTATTATAAAAATGTACAGTTTGATGACAGCATATAAAATCACTAGAAGACAACTTATTCCATAAACACTGGGACAGCTGCCTTTCTCCATAGCCTCATCAGTTACCAAAAAAAAAAAAAAAAAAAAAACCCAAAATCTAAAACTAGATGCAAGATGATATAACTTTTTAAAATAAAATCACACATCGCAATAATCAGATCAAAATAGTGTCTACAAACCGGCTCATGATTTTACTGGAATTCAGAATGTGAAAAAGGAACCATTTCAAAAGACAGACTGTTGGGAACAGCAGGTGTCAGAATGGCTATGTTGCTGGACTCCCATGTAGTTAGTTGACCGCGGTTCAAGTCCCAGACCCGGTGACTTAAAACTCACACTGGGCATGTGACCATATGTGCCCAAGATCCCAAGAGGAGGACAGAGGAGAAGGGATTGCAGCATGGCCATCCCCCTGGGGGGTGATTTCTTGCTTTCTATCTCTGTCTCTCCAGTAAGCACATGCATCCTATAGCAAAAGTCTCTAAAGAGTAAATAAATAAACAGGACCAACAGCTAAGTACAGTGCAGAGCAAGGTGGAGCCCACGTGTATGACCATGATTCAAGTCTTACCCCCAATGGCTGGAAAACACACTGGGTATGTATGTGCATGCCAAGGGTTCAGACAGGGTGGAGAATTAGAGGGAAATTTATTTCAGCACGAGCAGGATTTATTACACTGTCATCTCTTTCCACTTCTCTATCAGCACTTCCTGAAAAAATATTTACTGGATTCTGGATTTTTTTTTTTTTTTTTTAAAGAGAGAGACTTTTGCTATAAGGCACATGTGCTTGGCAGAAAATCAGAGAAAGAAGAGAGAAAGTGAGAAATCACCCCCCCAGGGGATGGCCAAGCCACAATCCCTTCTCCTCCATCCTCCTCTTGGGATCTTGGGCCTACACACACGCACACCCAGCATGAGTTCAAGCCTCTAGGTCTGGGACTCAGATCACAGTTGACCACGTGACATGTGCTGGAGTCCAGGGCCTTAACCACTACACCACCTGCTGTGCCCCCTTACCAATAACGATTATTTCCTCTGGATCTACATAAGCTAAAAAAGGACTGGGGAGAAATGTTCACATATTGAAATGATTACCTTATCTATTTCTCTCTAGTGAGTGCATGCACTCTAAGGCAAAAATCTCTAAAAAGGAAGGAAGGAAGGAAGAAAATTAGTTTAATCTGACTGTACACTGATCCTCCCCACATTTCAATCTATTCCTTATATTTCCCATAAAAAAAGAAACAGGGCCAGCAGGTGGCATGAAGGCAGCTAGAACCCACAGAGCTGACTCTGGCATTTGGGTCCCAGACCCAGTGACTTGAAAATCAGGCAGGGTGTGTGCATATGAGTGCCCAAAGTCCTGAGAGGGGACTGGAGGAGAAGAGATGGCAGAGAGGCTATCCCCCACGGGGGTGATTTCTCACTCCCCAAACCCACCGCTGTTGCTCTCCAGAGAGCACGTGTGTCCACAGCAAAATCGAAAAAAAAAAAAATTAATTTAAAAAAATTAAAAAAGAAGAGAAAAACAAAAATCAGTTTGCCCTAAAGACCAGGAATTATTGCAACTTGGAGTTTTCCTTTTCCCTCACAAATATACTACGAAAACACGTGCCTGCACTTCACCTATGGACTCGTTTGCCAATCCCAGCTTCCCTCTCTTCTCCAGCAAAGGTCAACTCCCTGCTCCTCCTTCCAAGAGCAGCATTACTCAGAGACGCGTTTCCCTCCTAAGCAATAAGCCCAAAATCCAGCAGGCTCACGGTGAAATCCCTGTGGTTACGCTTCTCTAAGGGTGTGCGTCCCCGGAATGCAAACTTGGGGAAGGACTCTTCTACATGAAAACGATGCACTGTCACGGCCATCAGATGATTTTTTTTTCTTGGTTTCTTACTTTTCCACACGTTTTGCTTTTCGAAGTGAATTACATATTTTATTTATTTAATTAAAAAGTTCCAGCAGAGAGACGGAGGGCTGAGAAAGCACGGTCGATGGGGAATAGTCACGCACAATCCTTTCTCCTCCTCCATCTATCCTTGCTTTTGGGATTTTGGGCATGCACACACAAAATGCTCCATGTTCCTCAAGCTGCCGGGTCCAGGGTTCAAACCCTGCAATCAGTCATGTAGCATGGAGCCACCTCAGTTACCCCCTCATGGGTGGGCCTCCAAATGTCATATTTATATGTGCGTATGCAAGTGTTTATATTTACGTGCAAATCTGTATACACACGTAAACAAAATGCACATGTACCATCAGAATAAAAACCAAATGCTTATGCCATAGAGAACTCCCATATGTAAATAACTTAAGAATATGTTTTCTTCTGTCACTATTTTCTGAGAGAGACTTTTTGTACAGGGCACATGCATTTGCCAGACAGACAGAGAGACAAAAAGTGAAAAATCACCCCGAGGGGATGGCCACACAAGTCCTTCTCTTCCGTTCTTCTCCTCGATTCTAGACACGCACACACACGCTCCCAGAGCGAGTTCCAAGCCATCGTGTCTGGGACTCGATCCGTACTCAGCCATGTGGGAGTCCAGTGCCTTTACCACTATGCCACTTGCCGGCCTCCAAAGTAAGTTTTTAATCT